ACTTTCAATGTTTCTGTTTTATCTATGGGTATACAATACTGCCCTGATGATGTTAGGTTCAATGATACTTCCTTTCCCATTATCATTACTGTGTCATTCTCTAATTCCATTTTGACTCCTGCCTCTTTCATAGCTGACCTCGAAAGCAAGAGAGGAATATCTGAGTCAACCACATCAGTTTTCAGCTTCACTTGCTCACCAACCATACAAATTGGTAAATCATACTCTCCAACTGATTTCGTCTTGTCCCTCCTCCAAACTTAAACACTTTATGTCCGCTGCGATTGACAACCTTTTCTCGATCTTCTTCATTCAGTTAAGAAATGTAACTATTGAGCCAAGTTTTTCCACATACTGTACTACTACATGCACTGTCCAATACTGCACAATTACGAGCATCATTTCCTAGCTGTTTAATGTCTTGCTTTTGGTAAATAGTGAATAGAACAGCGTGTTCTTCCTCTTCTATAATATTTACTTTTGACAAATTTTCCCAGCTATCCGGACATTTTGCAACAAGATGCCTGCAAGAGCCACAAGATCTACATGTTAAAGGTTTTCCATCTGGTCCTGTTGGGTTTAGATTCTTTGCCCCTCTTTGTGATGACTGAAATCCTTGTCCACGTCCACCACCTCTACTATATTGCCCTCCACGCTTATAACTGTTGCTGTTACCCCGTTTAACATAACCTGCCGCCCACAAAGCTTCCTCGTTTTCAGCTAAAAAGGTTGGTTCAATTTTTATACTCTGACCTATATCTTTCACTTGACCTCCTTCTCCCTTAAATTTTTTATAATGCCGTTTTGCTTCTTTATAAAGTGTAAATTTATTTTCATAGTTCATTCCAGTCAAGACTAGCATCTTTTCCTCTTTTGTGGTATTCGCTTTAGGTAACAATCTAAAAGCCAAGATTTCTGATGGTAATTTCATATTTTTCTTTTCATTTTTCTATATTTGCTGTCTAATTTAGCAACATACTCATGAATTGACTGACCTTCAGGTCTTGTGAAATCTTCAAAATCTTCAAACTTTTCCAAGCTGTCAGCAAGGTCATTCTTAGCAAGATGCTTATCCAGAAATTCTACCAATGTAGTAAAACCAGTGTCTTTTTTCAGATCTTCAAGATCAATTTGATCAAATACTTTTTCTCTGATTTTTTTTTTCATCATCCTCTGGCAAAGTGAGTGCAACTGCTATGCCTCTTTTCATTTTACCTAAATCTGTAATTTCACTCCATACTATTAATTCCTGTTGTTTGTAGAGTTCATATGATTTTGATTTGCTGAAAGATGGTAGATTAATTCTTGTTGCCATTATACTTTTTACTTTTCTCCTTTTTTTTCTATTTTTCTGGAACTTCTATGCATATAAAACCCTCAGGGGATCAGATTATTATGACAGATATACTTTTTACACCCAATATTATTGTTCTTTTACACTCTTGACAACTACACTGGATTCACTAACTCTTAAATTCATGTACGTTCTGCTACCATTGTTAAAGGTGTAATATCACCAAATCATAGTACGTCACATCCGGTTGCATACGAAAATAGGTCGAAAAAAAATATTCCCTTGAATTTGACAGTTGTAGGTAATTGATCCTACATTTCATTGCAGTAAAACATTTCTGGGTCATAAACATATATCTTGGGTATTTCAAAGCACCATTATTTTTTTATTTGGGGTTTCTATAGAATATTTTGGAAACTTGAGGTTACATGGTTACTAAAGCTTGTACACAGGTTAAAACAGGGGGAAAATTTGATTGGTTAACTTCCAGTGATGGTTATTTTCTTATATGCAATGAAATGTTTTGTGAAATTTGTTCTATAGTACTGGACAGGATAAAACTTTACTCATGCCAAGTATTTCTTTATTTGAAACAAAGATAAATTCTGCACAATTTTTGAAAAGTGCAAATTTAACAAAGACTAATAGGGGAAAATCAATGGTGGTATTACACCTAAACACATGTTAATTACACCATTTTATTTATCAAAGAGACAATCAGCATCTTTAAAACAAAAGAGTTCGTAACAAAGTAACTAGAGTTATCTTTCTTGGTACATTAATTTGGTCAACAAAAATACCATCCTAAAAAAGCACATTTTTTGGAATCACTCCATCAAATTCAAGAACTGCCACAGGAATCCATCATATTAAAATCAGATCTTCAATTGCTCCTGGGGGCCTTTGTGGCCGAGTGGTCTAAGTAGTGGAACTGCAATTTCATTAGCCTATCCGTGTCAACACCAAGGTTGTGAGTTCGAATCCCTCATATGGCAGGTGCGCTCGACTTCAATCTCAATTGATTAGGATTGTCAGTTTTCCTACCAAAGGTCAGTGGTTCTCTCCAGGGACTCTGGATTCCTCTACCAATAACAACTGACCACCATAAAATAGCACAATAGTACTAAAAGTGGCATTAAACACCAATCAATCAATCAATTGCTTTTGCTTACTAATATCCAATGAGAGGTGCTAATAAAGTGACCTTTAAGTTAAACACCAAACCATCAACATCATTATCAATTTAAGCTAAAATCAAATTAAGTAATAAACTAGTCTATAACATTTAAAAACAAAAACTTTTTATATCTTTTGCATAAATGAAGTCATTCAACAACACCTTGAAAAGTCAAGAGGACACCAATTAAATCTACAACAGCGTTTCTTCTGGTGGCCATGATTTTATGGTCAGATCATATGTTTTCGAATGTCATATGAATTCGTACTATGCATGCTTTTTCAATGGTAATTGTGATGTCACAATGCATTCTTAATAGCACAAAACCCATGAGACGAGGATATATACACAATAAACAAAAGATCCTTTCATAAATTATCCCTTCTATATGCAAAATCTAATTACAATGACTCACAACAATAGCTTGAAAATAAGACTTGTGGTCAAGTTGAGATGAAATATATATTTTTTTATTCTGTGGAACTGAAACTAATTTAATCATCTTAGTGAACAAAATGACCTTTAATTCTTTTTAAATGTTATTGTAGTGCATAAAAGGATAAAATGAGAAATTCAGTACTAAATATAGATAATAGAGAGAACTACTTTTAAACATAACATAATACAGAATAAATAACAAAATTACTTACAATTTGAGGTAACAGACAGACTTGCTGTGTTAGCACTCTGTCCTGTTCCAGCACTGTTTGAAGCAAAACATCTATATGTTCCAGCATCATTTGTATCTGTATTGAATATGGTGAGTGATGGAGTAGATGAAGTACTGCCGCTGTATTTATTGGTGTTGGTAGTGGATGTAATTGTAGTGATAGCACTATTGACTGTTCTCTGCCAGGTAACACTTGTTACAGTTGTAGTGGACGATACAGTACATGCCAAAGTCACAGTACTTCCTGAATTGACTGAGTAGAATGTCTGTGTAATGGTCACTGTTGGAACAGCTGTAACAGAACGAAAAAATTGCATTTTATAGGAATTTTTTACTTCGTGTGAAATGAAGTTTTTATGGAGTTTGGACATTCAAAACATGGCCTCTGGTAGATGTGTTTTTATCTGACAAAATAAATTCTAAAAGATTCTTTCATTACTGGTAATCATCCCCCAAAGTTTTGTTTAAACTGCCGAATAAAATTAAAGAGAAAATGAAAAAGTGCAAAATCTAATTACAATGACAAACAACAATAGCTGGTAATTGACTTTTATTTAAGCTGAGATAAACTATTGTTTTAATAATGTACTGGACTGAAACTAATAAAATCATTTTACTGCACATACTCATATCTCAATTTCTCTTCATAATGCTCTTGTGCAGAAAAGGATAAAATGAGGCATTTCAGAACTAAATCTGGATACCATCAATTCAGAAATTATTGCGAGGTTTTTGTCGAGCCTGCGACTTTTGTCGCAAAAGCGAGACATAGCGATCCTACATTCCGTCGGCGTCGTCGGCGGCGTCCACAAATATTCACTCTGTGGTTAAAGTTTTTCAAATTTTAATAACTTTCTTAAACTATCCTGGATTTGTACCATACTTGGACAGAAGCTTGTTTATGATCATAAGATAGTATTCAAAAGTAAATTTTGTTAAAAAAAAATCCTGTTTTTCCTTATTTTACTTATAAATGGAGTTTTTCTGCCAGTTAACATTACATTCACTCTGTGGTTAAAGTTTTCAAAATTTTAATAACTTTCTTAAACTATCCTGGATTTGTACCAAACTTGAACAGAAGCTTGTTTATGATCAAAAGCTAGTATCTAGAAGGAAATTTTGTAAAAAGAAAAATCCTGTTTTTCCGTATATTACTTATAAATGGACTTATTTTTTCTTCCAGTTAACATTACATACAGTCAGCAGTTAAAGTTTTTAAAACATTTATTAGATTCATAAACCATCCTGGATTCTTACCAAACTTGAACAGAAGCTTCTTACATTCAAAAGATAGTATCTAGAGGAAAATTTTTAATAATTATTTCCCCATTTTTGTTGAGCCTGCGACTAACAGCAAAAGTAGGCGAGACACTGGGTTCCGCGGAACCCTTACGAATTTTTATTAATGTGAATAACGCCACTGGGTGATGATCGCAATAATAAGAAGTCACACTTTGATATACTGTCATACAAGTGAGAGGTTTAGCTAGCTATAAAACCAGGTTCAATCCACCATTTTCTACATAAGAAAATGCCTGTACCAAGTCAGGAATATGACAGTTGTTATCCATTCGTTTGATGTGTTTGTTTTTTTGATTTTGCCATTTGATTGGGGACTTTCCTTTTTGAATTTTCCTCGGAGTTCAGTATTTTTGTGATTTTACTTTTTGATATTTCATACATATATCTTTATGCACATTTTGTCATAAAATCACAATAATTGATTGAGCATTTTTGTCCATTCTTCGAAATAATCACAATAATAAGTATACCCAATATTTTTCGAATTTACAGTAATAGAGTGCTATATGCTATTTCGAGACGTAAAATAATACAGAATAAATATTAACATTACTTACTATTTGTGGTAACAGACAGACTTGCTGTGTTAGCACTCTGTCCTGTTCCAGCACTGTTTGAGGCAAAACATCTATATGTTCCAGCATCATTTGAATCTGCATTGAATATGGTGAGTGATGGATTAGATGAAGTACTGCCGCTGTATTTGTTGGTGTTGGTGTTGGATGTAATTGTAGTGATAGCACTATTGACTGTTCTCTGCCAGGTAACACTTGTTACAGTTGTAGTGGACGATACAGTACATGCCAAAGTCACAGAACTTCCTGAATTGACTGAGTAGAATGTCTGTGTAATGGTCACTGCAGGAACAGCTGTAACAGAACAAAACATTTATTTTTATAGGAATTTTTGACACTGTGTGAAGTAAAGATTTTTTGGAGTTTGGACATTCAAAACATGGCCTCAGGTAGATGTGCTTTTATCTGACACAATAAATTCTAAAAGATGCTTTCATTACTGGTAATTATCTCACAAAGTTTTGTTTAGACTGCCAAATAGAATTGAAGAGAAAATGAAAAAGTGCAAAATCTAATTACAATGACACATAACAATAGCTGGAAAATAGACTTTTGGTCAAGCCAATATAAAATATTGTTTTAAATTCTACTGAACTGAAACTAATTAAATCATTTTACTGCACAAAATCATCTCAATTTCTGTTCATAATGCTGTTTTGCAGAAGAGGTTTAAATGGGGCATTTCAGAACTAAATCTGGATACTATCTATTCAGAAATTATTGCGAGGTTTTTATTAATGTGAATAATGAGACTGGGTGATGATCGCAATAATAAGAACTCACGCTTTGATATTTCATACATATATCTGTATGCACATTTTTTCCTAAAATCGCAAAAATAATAACTTGAGCATTTTTGTTCATTCTTCAAAAATCATAATAATAAGTGCACGCAATATTTATGGCATTTACAGTAATAGATTGCTATATGCTTTTTCGAGACGTAAAATAATACAGAATAAATATTAACATTACTTACTATTTGTGGTAACAGACAGACTTGCTATGTTAGCACTCTGTCCTGTTCCAGCACTGTTTGAAGCAAAACATCTATATGTTCCAGCATCATTTGAATCTGCATTGAATATGGTTAGTGATGGAGTAGATGAAGTACTGCCGCTGTATTTGTTGGTGTTGGTATTGGATGTAATTGTAGTGATAGCACTATTGACTGTTCTCTGCCAGGTAACACTTGTTACAGTTGTAGTGGACGATACAGTACATGCCAAGGTCACAGTACTTCCTGAATTGACTGAGTAGAATGTCTGTGTAATGGTCACTGTTGGAACAGCTGTAACAGAACGAAAACATTGCATTTTATAGGAATTTTTTACCTCGTGTGAAATGAAGTTTTTGTGGAGTTTAGACATTCAAAACATGGCCTCTGGTGGATGTGTTTTTATCTGACAAAATAAATTCTAAAAAATTCTTTCATTACCGGTAATAATCCCACAAAGTTTTGTTTAGACTGCCAAATAGAATTGAAGAGAAAATGAAAAAGTGCAAAATCTAATTACAATGACACACAACAATAGCTGGAAATAGACTTTTGGTCAAATTAAGATAAAATATTGTTTTAATACTGTACTGAAACTAATTAAATCATTTTACTGCATAACATAACCTCTTATTCTGTTTATTTTGTTATTTTAGTGCATTAAAGAATAAAATGAGGCATTTCAGTACAAAATATGTTGTGTTAAATGAGGAGGTGATGCTTGTTACTGTACCACCAACATTTCTTTGCCAGTAAACATTATTGACAGTTAGTGTAGAGGTCACAGTACACACCAAGGTTACAGAACTACCAGTAGTAACAGAATAGGATGGTTGTTGAACGTGAAAAGTGGGTACAGCTATAATTAATAAAAATGCCATGTTAATATATCATTTCCTGATTTTACATTGAAAATGATTGAAAAGATACATCAGGAGACTCAACTAAATAAAATGTAATTTCAAACATAGTCCGTTTTTATGTATGTTGGCGTTTGTTTTTGTAGCAGTTCAGTGTTTCTGTTGTTCCGTTTTGTTTCCTCTTATAGTTGATGTGCTTCCCTCAGTTTTGGTTTGTGATCCGGATTTGTTTCAGTTAAATCGATTTATGACTATTGAACAGCGGTATACTACTATTGCCTTTATTTATAGACCCTTTTTTCTAACATTCCATTTTCTTTGAAAATTCAAGGTTTTTTTTAACTTATTTATCCTCTTAGCATTGAAGGTCAGGACTGGAGGATTTTGAAAATAAATAACTCTGCCTTGATAATCACAAAAATAAATGGTATTGAAAATGAATAACTCGGCAGGTCTTTAAGCCATTTTATAAATGCTATTCGAAAGTATGAGGTGGCACCAGATTCTTCATAAAATTCATCTTTTTTTCAAAAAAATTCGGGAAACACTTCCCAAATCTTTTAATAATAAAGGTATAAATATTATTTAAATATACTTGAAATGTCTGAAAATGGGGTTCATTTAACTTGAGGTATATTGGCTCAGGAACACTTACCTCACTTTTATTACAGGGCTGTAACTACATTGAGGCAAATGCCTTTATGTAGGAAATTTTAAAACCAAAAGCTTGTCTTCATATCAAATTGTTTTCACAGCGAGTGTTTGCAAGAAGCAAGTTCTGATCTCCCTTGGACGTAGAACCTGTTTTTTCGGGATCAATGTTTCTTTAAATTTGTCTTTTGTTCATTGATTGCCCTTCTGTATTCTCTTAGTGTTGCATTCCTTTTGTGATTTAGTAATTTTGTTTTCAACTTGATCATGAGTTTTATTTTATTTAAGATTTTTTAGCTAATTTTACAACTTAACTACTTTAAATTGTATCCCAGTTAAGAGCTACATCAAGTTGTAATTGAAATGTGTTATTAAAAATTACTTGACCTAGTTATATCACTGATAATCAGCCCCCTCTTAACTTAATTTGAATAAAACCCCATATAATTTACAGGTATAAAAGATTTAAAATCTGCATGCCGAAACAACAACAAAAAAAAAAACAAAAAAAACCAGCAGCCACATACTTTACTATGTGAATTACATTTTTACTTTATTCTTCATATTGGTCTTTTGATGTTGTCCATAAAAACTTAAGTCTTACGCTGAATCTATACATTTTGCTTTGAGACCAAAATATTGTCAAAAAATTATTAAAACAGAACTTGCGTTTTCAGAATAACTTCAATAAGAAAGGGTCTGGGAACGCCCAGAAAGCACGATTTTGCATCATTTGTTCTATAGTTTCTTAAGGCCTTCAGCGGCTTCAAAACCCTTCAAAATTTTTTGGCCTCGCTCCGCTCGGCGTACATATATTTGCCAATACTTTTAAAAGAGGCTAGTCACAGCCCAACTCTAATACCGTGTATGTATGCAATACATGTATATGCAGTTTAGAATTCAGAAGATTCATTTCCGCAGAGGATGATGATTAATTCTGATTAAATGGTACATTAATGACTTGACTGTACATGTATTATTTATAATAAAAAATGAATTTAAAAATTGTATGTTTTCAAACATTATTAATATAGTTATGAAAATAAATAATCAGTCCCTTGTTTTAATGAAAATGAAAAATTTTGCTTCAACAGAGCAGAAAATAAATAATCTGTCCTCTTAGTTTACAAAAATAAATAACCGATCCAAAACAAATCCTCCTGCCCCCCCCCCCCCCCCCCCCCAGAATATCAAATGGTCGTCCCCTAAGTTCCTACATCCTTCTACCAATGTTTTATTTTTTAATTCTCTCTTTTATACCTTTGACTCTGACTGATAATAATTGAAATGTCCAACTTAAGCTTTAGGAAGGCATATTTTACTACAACAAAATTCAAACATAATGATATACTTTTGTAGTACCAATCGTTATTTACTTTGGAGGGAAAAAACTAAAACGTTTATTGTAGCTCATGCAATTTCTCTAGTTGCCAAACAACTTGTATTTTCACACATACAACTTACAGACATATTGTATAACTTAAGGATCCATGCAAAAATTGCAGAAAACTTTAGATTGATGAACTTACTGGCGGAAACCTACAGTTCCCCTTGGATTAACTGATAGGTAACAATAACTATAAATCACTGTAAAAGAGAGGCGAAGGATACCAAAGGGACATTCAAACTCATAAGTCGCAAATAAACTGACAACGCCATGGCTAAATAAAAAAAAACCAGACAGACAAACAACAGTACACAAAACACAACATAGAAAATCAAAGACTGAGCAACACGAACCCCACCAAAAACTGGGTTTGATCTCAGGTACTCCAGAAGGGTAAGCAGATCCTGCTCCACATGTAGCACCCGTCGTGTTGCTAATGTTAGTACACACCCGGTGATAAGTCTTATTCCGTAGGTCTAATTAGGGGAAAAGTAGACGGGATTGTAGTTATGACAATTGAAACATATCTATTGTCATCTGTGAAACGGATTTTCCATAACCGTCAACTAACTCGTGATGGCGTCCGTAAAATTTACGAAGGGACAATTTCAAATTCACCACTTCGAACTTTTGGTTTAAGAGCTTTCTTGTGAGCAGCAACACTCTATCAAGGAAATCATGATAGGAAATACAAGCCCTGGCATATCGTATCAACTTGGAGATATATACTCCTTTTGCAGGCGCTGCTGAAACGTTGCTACATAGAAATGAAAAGTTCACAATTGGGAAGTTGAAATCATCTCTTTTGTCGTAAAGTTTTGTTTTCAACCGACCATCATTGTCAATTTCTAGATGTAAGTCAAGATATTAGGCAGACTAACTGTATCTGTTGTATCCTTTATTTCAAGTTCGATAGGATAGATGCTTTCAACATAATAACCAAATTTAGAATTATTTAGTGAGAGAACATCATCTATATAGCGTAAACTGAAGTTAAAGGATACTGCTAACTTCTTTTCTTTCTTCATAAGAAGTTCCTGTATGAAGTCAGTCTCATATGAATAAAGGAACAAGTCGGCAAGAAGAGGAGCACAGTTGGTTCCCATGGGAATGTCAATTGTTTGTTGAAAAACACGTCCTCCAAATATAACAAATATGTTGTCAATCAAGATGTGCTTGACAATGCCAGTTTCAGAGAATTTTTTGTTTGACTCAAAGTGATCTTTTATAAAGTATGATTTATCCCTCCCAGGCCATTCTGTTTTACGAAACAACGCAGGACCAACTCTATTTGTCTTTTAGTCTTAGTCTGGAATGTAGAATACTTTTTATTTAGAAATGACATTACAGCAGAAAACCTTTGACTGAAACTTAAGGTATGGATAGAATTTAACAATTTTTTTTTTGGGGGGGGGGATGAAAACTGCCTTTTTGTTTCCAAAAAATGTAAAAAATGGTTCAGTCAGATTAAATAATCCTGTATGAATTGAACACATTTGTAATTTGAAGACACTAAATGGTAATTTCTCCTGTACTATTCAATTAGTTTAGCTCTTTTTCTAATTCTAGTAAATGTTTGTTAGTTGGCTGAAAAATCATATATAATTTCAAAATTAGCGATTTAAATAATAGTTTGTAACAAATGCATACTAGGTTGCACTTTGTAAATACAGTTGTTTCACAAACCACGCCTATTTTGGGGATATATATAATATTCATAGACATTTTGTTTTGTTTACCTACTGGTTCCCGGATATGATCTCTATGTTTCATATCGTAGAGACATAAATTTGGAATGTTACCAGTATAAATACACATGAATCGCGGCTAAATCGAATTCGAAGGAAGACCCAAAGTGAAGGGAGGGGTAATACAGAATTTTAGTATAAGTTAAAACTCTTAGAAGTTCGACGCATATAAATTTTGAAAAATGCCGCACAACCCGATATTTTGACCTTTGAAAAATTAGTAGTGCAAATGAACTTTCCATTCTAGGATATAAATTTTTTACGAAACTTCATAGTAAAAGTGACACAGTTTTTGCCGTAAAAGGAGTTCCTATGGGAAATTGCATTGCATTTATTTACAAAAGTGCAAACTACTAAGTAGGATTTTATCCAAGCAAATTTCCAAATGTTCAGGAGGAATTAAAACAAAAGATTTATAAAAAGTAAAGAACGAAGAAATGGCAAACAATGGACACTAAATAATAACAATAGCTAAAAACAGACTAGGTGAGTACAATCTAAGAAATGGTACACAACTGCTATTAATAAAAGTTTTTTTTCTTTTAATGCATTTAAACTTGCACAGGCATGTAACTTTCTTGAATGCTTAATTCATTCAATCACCCCTAGTTTTGTTTTAAAGGGGTTCGTGTTGCTCTTGCTTTAGTT